CTGGGGGCAGGTCCCCCCAAGTTACAGCGCCTGCGTAGGGGCTTGGAGAAGATTGGCTCGAGGACATGGGATGATTACTGCCCAGACTAACGATGGCAGCCCAGTAAACTTGTATTAATACAGAATACTGGCAGGTGTAACTGATCTTGGGAGGAGTCGGAAATAGGGGTACAGAGGAAGATGGGTGCTGGGATTTAAGAGCCAGGCACGGCAGCCATTGAGAGAGAGCCACGCGGTTTCAGCAGAGTGAGGACCCCCTGTTGGTGAGGTGAAAGAGGGAGCCACGCGGTTTTGGCAGGGTGTGGACCCCCTCTTTCCCAGGTAAAAGGGAAAAACCACGCAGCTTTGCCAGAATGGAGATCCCTGCAGCCAGGTGAAGAAGACAGCCACATGCTTTTGGTGGAGTGCGAACCCCTGCAGCTTTGGTAGAAGAGGCCCACGCGGCTTTGGGGTGCCCCCTTTGGCCGCGGGGCCTGAAAAGCAACAGAGACTTTGACTGGAACTGGGTACAAAGGACTCTTGCCAGTGGACCATGAGAGGGTACCACAGTACTTTGGATTAACTCGAGATCCTGCACAGTGACACAGCTGATGGTGCCAGCGGCCTGCAATACAGACGTGTGCTCTTTTCCTGATTTACGGTACCCGGAGTTGGGACAGTGGGAGAAGGGAGCGCGGTGTGGGTGTAGGTGTATACGCTAAAGGACTTTGATACTTTAGTAGTGGCGTTAGGCCTGAATAGCATTAAATAAACATTTTGTTTCCTTTTCACAAATCTCTGGCATTAAGAAATGTCTTTCCAATTGGCGGCGGACAGAAGGGCCCAATAGATATCAGTATTTTGGTTTTTGGGAGGGGCCCCTGTTGTATAGCAGTTTTGGGCATCCCTAGGTGGGCCGAATATTGTATTGCCCCTCCCTCCACCTCCTCTTGTTCGGTAACATCCTCACATCACAGTTCAAATTTCAGTTACCAAGGTATATTAAGTACAAACAACTGCAGAAAGTACAAAGTTTTCTGCTAGCACTTCAGGCTACTGATTACTACATAGGGAACAGGAAGAATCTGAAAATCTGAATAGACAGATCACAAACAGTGAATTTGAAGCAGCGATTTAAAAAAATCTTAAGAAACAGAAGTCCTGAATCAGTTGGCTTCACTGGCTAGTTTGACCAAACATGTAAAGAAAAACTAAGATCTATTCCTCTCAAAATATTCCAAAAAAATTCAAGAGGAGAAAATACTGCCAAGCTCACTTTCCATAGCCCACCTTATCCTAACTCCAAAATAAGATAAAGACACTACAAAGAAAGAAAATTATTGGCCAACGTTCCTGATGAACACAGATGCAAAATAAAAGATAAAAATCACATGATCATATCAATAAATGCAGGAAAAGCATTTGATAAAATCCAGCACACATTTATAATAAAAACTCATAGCCAATTGGGAATAGAGGAATCACACCTCAATGTAATAAAGGCCATATCTGACAAACCCACAACGAATATCATGCTCAGCGGGTGAAACCTACAAGTGATTTCCCTAAGATCAGTAATAAAACAGGGATGTCTGCTTTCAATACTCTTATTCAACATAGTACTGGAAGTTCTAGCTATAGCAGTCAGACAAGAGGCAGAAATAAAAGATGTCCAAATTACAAAGGAAGAAATATAACCATAGTTATTTGCAGACGACATGATACTCTATACAGAGAACCCTAAAGATTCCACCAAAAATTTTCTAGAACTGATAAACAAATTCAGTAAAATAGCAGGACACAAAATAAATATACAGAAACCATTTGTCTTTTTCTACATCAGTAATAAACCATCAGAAAAGGAAACAAAGTCATTTACAATTGCATCAAAAATTACCTGGGATAATAAAATAATTTATTATTAGAGCAAAATAATTTGTTATTTATTTTAATAATTTATTAATATTTTATGATATTAAAATAATCTAATATTATTTATTATATAAATGAAATAATTTAAAAATTCAATAATAAAAAGAAAAGGGAGGTGGGAATGGGTGGGGTGGGAGGGGCATGGTGGGGTGAAAATGAAGACAATTGTACTTGAGCAACAATAAAATAAATAATAAAAAATTTAATGATAAAAAATTATGTAGGAGTAAGTTTGACTAATGATTTAAAGTTCTCTACTGGAAAATTATAATTAACTGAAGAAAGAAATTAAAGAAGTTACAAATAAGTAAATGCATATTCAACACAGTTTCTATCAAAATACCAATGGCATATTTCACAAAACTAAACAAATATTCCAAAACTTTATGGAAGCACAAAAGACCCTGAATAGCAGCAGCAATCCTGAGAAAAAGGAACACAGTTGGAGAAATCATGCTACTTGATATCAGACATATACTATAAGGCTATATTAATCAAAAGAGCATGGTACTGGCATAAAAATAAACATATAAATCAATAGAATAGAATAGAAAGCCCAGAAATAAACCCACATTTTTTGTTCTACTAATATTTTACAAAGGAGGCAGGGACATACAATGAGGTAAAGACAGACTATTTAATAAATGGTGGTGAGAAAATAGGATAGATATGGACAGAAAATAAAACTAGATCAACTCTTTCCACCATACACAAGAATAAATTCAAAATGGATTAAAGATTTAAATATTAGACTCAAATCTATAAATATTGTACAAGAAAACTAAAACTATTTTGTAAAGCAAAGGAAACCATCAACGAAATGAAGACAGCACATTAAATAAGAGAACATATTTGCCAGTGATACATCTGATAATGGGTTACTATCCAAAATTTATACAAAATTTTATAAAACTTAACACCAAAGAAACAGACAATCCAATTAAAAAGTGGGCAAAGGACCTGAATAGACATTTCTCCAAAGAGGACAAACAGATAGCCAATAGACATATAAAGATATGTTCAAAGCCACTATTCATCAGAGAAATGCAAATCAAAACCACAGTGAGATATTACATCACACCTCTCAGAATGGTTATCATCAATAAATCAACAAACAAGTGTGAGGATATGGAGAAAAAGGAGTCCTTGTGCACTTTTGGAGGGAATGCAAACTGGCAGAGAACTGTGAAAAACCGTATGGCATTTCCTCAAAAAACTAGAAATGGATTTCCATTTTTATGACCTAGCCTTATGACCTAGCAATTCCAGTTCTAGGACTATACCTGAAGAAATATGAAACAAATTCAAATGAATATAATGCACTCCTATGTTCATTGAAGTATTACTTACAATAGTCAAGATTTGGAAGTAGTCCGAGTGTCCATCGGTGTATGAAAAAACAAAAAAGCTGTGGTACATTTGCATAATAGCATACTACCTGACTATAAATAGAAGGAAATCTTACCTTTGTGACAGCATGGATGCACCTCTAGAGCATTATGCTAAGTGAAATAAGCCAGTCAGAGAAAGATGATTTCACTCATACGTGGAATCTAATAAACAAAATAAACTAACAAAGAAAATAGAAATAGAAAACAGATTGACATGTGTCAAAGGGGAGGAGTTTTGGGGGGCCAGGTAAAAAAGGTGAAGGAATTAAGCAAAACAATACCAGAACAATAAAACTCATAGACACACCCAACAACATGGTGATTACCAGAGGTAAAGAGGAGAGAGGGAAGATAGAAGAGAGTAAGGTAGTGATTTCAGGTAGTGAACACACAATATAATATACAGATAGTGTATTACAGAATTGTACAGATGGCTATAAAAAGTTTCATCCCGATAAATCCAATAAAAATAAGTAAATAAAATAAAATAATATAAGTGTCATCCTACAAAAAGAACAGGTAAGCATTATGTTCAAAAACCATATTACTTTTTTCATAGGCTGTTGGATATTGGGCACTGTATTTCTGTTATTCAGTTCATACACAGACAGTAAAGCATATCATTCATTATATTGTGTCCTTGTCTTTGAGTTATAAACCTATGTGCTATATTACAAAAACAGATAATCAAAAAAGGAATTATGGCAACAAAAATGAAATTGTAGCAAAGAAATGAAGAATAATAACATTGTGAGTAAAATTCAAATTGAACATAAATGCAGTTACAGAAGAAATAGCTAAGGCTAGAAATGTTTACATGGCTGCCATTGAAGACACTAGATACTTGGGCAAAGAAACTTAGTGAAGGTGACCTTATCAACATAAGTGAAATGGTTGTGATAAAAATGATGAAGATGTCCCAGAAAAAGTGACACTGGCAAGAAAACCTTCACATTAAAGCAATTCTTATATATATTTCATGACATTGAAAGCACAAATAACAAAATGTTGGAAGCTGATCCGTACTTGGAAAGGAGCATGACAATTCAACAGAGCACACAAAAGTTGCTCACTGCATCAGATATTATGCAATGAGAAGGCAGTCATCGTTTAAATATTCTTGATTGCTTTTTGCATAGAATTAAAATGGTTTATATTAATTCTCATTTTAAATTATAGTGCACTAAATATACATTAGTTCACTGTTTTTCAAATTTCCTATATATTTATAAATGACAGTAAGAAACTGTCTAATATTTTGGCAAGCATTTTTAAAGGTTATAGAACAATCAGAGTCTTTTCCATTGATAATGACACTGTGTGTTCACTTGGGTGGGCGTTTTTATGATGTGGCACTACTTTAGAAGTGAGAACTGCCTATATATATTGTTATCATTATCACTCCTTAGAATAATCATGTATAGAGAATACCACTATACCATAATAATTAAACAGAAAATATCAGAAATCCTCTTAATTAAATTGCCAGTGACTATTTTAAGTTTTGTAAAACTGGAAAAAATAGACCTTTTTACTTTTACAAATTACATATCAGGAGACGATTACAAATCAGGAGGTTATTTAGATAGCATTGCAGAGGAAAATATAATTTTATCATTTATAAATATGTTATATATTGTATTGATTATATTGTTACAAATTTAACTTAGAAACTTATCATTGTGATTTTTTTTTTAACCTTGTTTGAAACTGGCTCACACACTACATACAGAGCTGTGAGGCCAACTTCAGTGTTACTTACCCCCCTTTTACGACGCCAAAGACCTGTGTTCAGATCTGATGGGAAAAAGAACTGGAGGGTTGTTTTTGCTGTTTTAAGGGTTCATTGTAAACTACTTTTGTCAATCAACTAAAGCACTTTCTGGTGGACATGTGGTAAAAATGTTATGGCTTAAAATATCCAGATCCTTCCTGATCTCTTTATCTTCTCCTATCACATACCAAACCCCCACTGCCTTCACCACTGCCCACACCTCCTCCATAACTACGGTCTACAGATCAGAGTCCTGTCCCCACAGAAAACACTGTGACCCAAGCCTGTCACCACAGTTGTGCTGTGTGCACAACTCCAACAGGTGCAGGTCTATAAAAAATGGCTTCAAATGCATGAACATGAGAAGTCTCTTTGGGTATACGCTTACATTTCATATTGACAATAATGAATACATATATTTATTCCCAATACATAGTGAAATAATTGGAGAGGAGGTCAAGTTTACAAAAATATTTAAAATAATTAAGGGAAGAAGTACAGTAGGACTGGAGAGAACATTTTAGTTATAATGGAAGTGTCAAGTTCAAGCCAAAAAAATTGTCCAAGTCAAAAATCAAAGAAGCTGGCTTCAATCTGAGGGGAGTAGAGTGTGGAGGTGATAGAACAGTCACCCCTGGTTTTTTGTTTGTCTGTTTGTTTAATATGACTCTATTAACAATGGTAAGAAAAAAAAAGAAAAGATCGGCAGCAGCAACAAATAACACTTACTGGTAACTTACATGTCCCTGACAGTATTCTTAACATGTGAGTGGTTTGTTCAATGCTCTCAATAACTGTCTGAGTAGTAACTATTATTAGTTCCCAGTTTTAAAATAGAAAAACAGAGAAATTAATAAGTAAATTCTCCAAGGTCACACAGGTAGAAAATATTGCTACCAGAATTAGGAGTCAAGCTTTTTCCCTCTGGAACACAAATCCAATAACCTGTACATTACACTTTACATACAGATTCAGAAATGGGGCCAAAATGCATGAAATCTACTTTATCTATTATTGTATTCCAGCTTTAGGGATGGTAAAAAAAAAGTAGTGTGAAGTAAAAGGAATATCTACATTTCAATTAAATGGGTGAATAACAAGAGTAAAAGTAACACTAGGGATTCAAAAGTTGAGTGTTTATGTTACAGAATGGACCTGTTGGGAGGACAGTATACTGTTACCAAATGGACACCCCCTTCCCCTGGGGTCCCTCTGTACTAGGTCCACCTTGCCCACTGCCCTTAGGAATTATAGCTCTCAATGCCAGAGTTTGGTGAAGAGGAAAGGAACTATTCATTCAAGAGTTATACAGACTTAGAGTAATACTTAATGTCTTCCTTAAAAATCCCAAAGTCCCTTAAAACACCCACAAACATACATAGTCCTTCCTTCCCCTTTGTCCTGGCACGCCAGTCTTGGGTACCATATCTCAGAAAAAAAAATAGAAGTCTTCTGGTCACTTCTCCTGCTTTCTTTCTGTCATCAGGCTGTCAGGCCTCCTGCAATTCCCAGCACCATCTGCTGTGTGGCCAGGAACTCCAGTTCTTCATCCAAAACCACGTGGCACCTTCTAATGGCCCACCAGAGAGAATCCTTTCACCCCTTTCCTTCCCTGCAAGGTCTTGCATTGTCCTGGTCCCTAGTCTTGCCTTGCCTTTCCTGCTTCAAAGCCTCGTGGTAAAGGGAACCCAAAACTGCCTGGTTCCAACCCGCATGGCTGCCACATCTGGGTTTAAATCCTGGTGTGAATCTCCCTGTGCAATTCCATTTCCGACTCCTCCCACAATTGGCCACACCTGCCAGCATTCCTGTATTGTTTCAGCCTTTCTTGGCAGCCTTAGTAAGTCTGGATACATGTGGCCCTGTGGCATGGATCAAACCATCTCCAAGCTCTCACGCAGGCTATGTAACTAGGGGGAGCTGCCTCCCAGTTACATCCTGGGTCAAAGTCACTCCCATCTTTCTGGCTCAAATCACAGTCACAGCTACTTAAATATCTATAAAGGTAGCCAGCAGTTATAGATATATACAATAACTGTTTTTGCATATCAGGTATGAAGCTGGACAACTGTTCATATGCAAAATAACTCTCAATGGCCCTGCTTCATGTGTCCCATTCCCCAGTCCAGACTTGAGGGATGAGGATATTCTCTATTTTTATATTTCCTGGACACCCTGAGTCTGCACCCCATTATAAACCCCTCTTCTGGGGGCCCTGGCTTCATCTGGGTATACTTACAAAGGAGTGACAGGTTTCACTTCTTTTGCCTGGATATTAAAACACAGTTCTTGTAGAATTCAATATATAAAAATAGGTCAGTCAATTCAAGTCATGATTAGAGACTGAAAAGAGAAACAAGTTCCAGTGGACTTTTATTCATATTCTCAGTGATAGAAATATAAACATTTAACATTTAAAAAGTACAAATAATCCATGGTTTTGCTCCAGATCTTTGAGCTTAATATCTGGGTAACCAAAAGTAAGAAAGACCACAGAGACATTGCCTATGGCATTTTGTTCCATCTCAGCCCAGTCAAACATACAAATGGTTCATGTGTACATTACCAAGAGCCTGCTTGGAATTGTGTCCTAAAGTTATCTAAAAAAAAAAGAAGGAAAGAAAATAAAAAATGTTCCACTGTCTAGTCAATTTGAATTGATTTGTTGACAACCATTTGTAGATTTCATTTACCCATTTTGTAGAATCTGAAGCTATAGAATTTCACAAAAGAAACTAGTTTGGAGTGAGAGGTTTATTCTGCTTTGAAACACTGATTTTTTTCATGCTTCATTAAAAGATTAAATTGTGTAGACAATTTCATCTGTTAAATACATGGCCAAGATTGATTTCATTTTTAAAAGAATCAAGCAAATTATTGACACTTGCATTGTTTAGAAATGATCACAGTTAACCTGCCCAGGAACCTAACAAAATGTCTCACTCATGGGTAAATTGAAACAGCACACAAGAAGTAATTTTTGTATTAAGGAAACTTGCAGGTCAATTGATAAACAGCCGTGGACTTGAAAGCAGCAGCAGGGGCTGGAACTGGCGCTGAAATTGGGTGGGGCACCGGGAGGTGTGTTTGTTTCTTCCTCTGTGTTTGCTGTACAAAAAGGCCTTTGAAGCTACCAAAGTTAGTTCATACTGAAGCTTGAAATTGAGAGGAAACTGAAATGCAATAAACTGTAAAAGAACGCCCTGTACTCTCCTTGAACCTCTCTGTTTCAATCTATACATATATTTTCATTTCATCCTCAGTATTTTGTTGATTGCTTTTGAGAAATAATAAGGAATAATGTGGGCTCCCTCTGGTGACTAATTTCACATGTAAACATCCCCGTGGCAGTTAATCAAGAGGCTGCAATCTCTGGATCCTGTGCGTGTCTTATGCAGAGAAGTAGAGAGGATTAGAGGCCCACAGGGACGGTAAAAACAAAAATCCGAGTTTAGCAGTAGTTCTCCATTGAATGCGCAGAGTAAGTTTTCATCATTTTACCAACTTCATCACATTAAATTTCACTACATTTTTTCTTGTTATTGTAGCTGCCATCTCATGGAATGAGAATATCTTGACATTTTCATGTAAAATATTTCTTTAGTTCAAACAACACTAAAATATTATTAAAGAATATGTTTTTCCATTGTGTATGTGCACAGAGGAAATGGAGTTTAGCCCAGAAAATAAGAGACTGATACCGTAGATGAAGGACCTCTCCGGGTCCTTTCTGTTCAAACTGGACAACTTCCTCAGGAGCCCTAAGTAGACTATGTGAGCTCCCCTTCCCAGAATTTTGTGGCAAATGTCAGGCTCCTGATTCAGCCCATTCTTCCATTTCTTTTGTCTTTCTTTTTTTCTCTTGCTTTCATTTCAAGACATAAAATGTATTCTAAGGGATATAATTAAAGTTTTGAATGATATTCTGGTCCCATTCTTCTCAACTGAGAAATAAACGTTTTGAAGTTTCTATGTATCTTTTACATCCACTTGTCACATTTTCAACACACCTGTATGTCTACATAAACAATCTTGAAATTGATTATTGTTTTGTGTCTAATTATAATTTACTTATGTTAATATCATGGTGTATATATCTTCCTGCAACTGGTGCCTTTAACCAACTGAGATTTTAGAGATTCATACATGTTGATGTTTAACTATAGTTCATTCTGCCATCAGCTGTAACACTGTAACACCATGCATTTATGCAGGCTATTTAGGTTTTCATTTTTTAGTCAATTTAAGGATTCATAAAACTAAGGTTTTTTTTCTCTTTCCCACAGATGAGAGTTTCTCAGGAATAGAGACCACAAAGTTGGCTAGATGGATCTCAGTGGATACATGTCTTTCTCTCTCTTCACTAATGCAAAATTGTTCATCAAGGTGATTATTCCAGTTTATTCTTCTATCTACTTCTTTTTTTGTAATTTGAACAAGAAAACTTTAACATAGAATATTATTCAACTATAACAAGGGATTGAGTAAGGAGGGATTGGCTAGTAATAATTAGCAAGAACTCCATTGTGTGTGCCAATGGCAGATACAACATCTGTGATAATAGGTGGACTTCCGTGCACTAGGTTGCTAGAGTTGCCATAACCACAGGCTGGTATTTTATTACTGGTATTAAACAACAAAAACTTATCACAGTTCTAGAGGATGGAAGTGGGAAATCAGTCTTGGTGGGTTTGGCTTCTCCCCCAGTCTCTCTCTTTGGCTTGCAGATAGATGGTTGTCTTTTGTGGTGCTCAGACATTTGGTCAAACATTATTCTGGCTGCATCTGTGAGGGTGTTTCTGGATGAGATTAACATTTGACTTTCCAGCCTCTGTAACTACATGAGTCAATTCCTTGTAATTGTTTCTGTTTCTTTGGAGAACTATGACAAATAGAGATTCATACCGTAATTATACTTGGCATAGATATTTAGCTTCAGTTTAACATTATTTGCATTATTACATTTCTTTTAATCTGTGTGGCACTGATTTACAGTTTTGTTTGAATTTAATATTAAAAAATATTCTAATTTTGCAGTTGTGTAAGAC